AGACAGACAGACAGACAGACAGACAGACAGACAGACAGACAGACAGACAGACAGAGAAACAGACAGACAGAGAAACAGAGAGAAAAAGGGAGCGTGGTGGGGTGGTAGCTATGACACATGTTCCAGTCACATGCCTCCGAGGCTCCAATCCCCGAGGGACAGAAAATCTTGTCGGCTGAGATGAGGTCAGCGTGACCCGGAGGTACAGGCATTCAGACAGGCAGACCCAACAGTCCTGGGCTCTGTCATACGCTAAAGTACAAACAAATTGTTCCATTAGTTTTTCAATTTTTACGTGATTCTGAAAGACGGGTGAGTTGGGGGGAGGGGTAGAGAGAGAGAGAGAAAGAGAGAGAGAGAGAGAGAGAGAGAGAGAGATAGAGAGAGGGAGAGAGTGATTGAGTGAGTGTGAGAGAGAGAAGAGGAATAAGGGTAGGGGGTGAAAAATGTGCACCTACCCAAGGCTGTATCGTTGTAGTAGCCATAATTGCCCAACTCTTTCACTGGTGCTTGAGTCTCCAGAAAGTCTACATAACCTTCCCAGGAGTGGATGGCCACGTCATGTGTCTGGGATACCAACTTGCTGAAGCCGGTGCTGCCAGAGGTGGTAAACACTTTGACCAAGTCGTCAGGCTCACAGGGTTCGAACACCGTGTCCAATTCACAGCTTCTCAGTTCCTCCAGCAGGGTTTTCCTGTCTCAAGAAATGTTGATTAACTTTTTAAGAAAAATATCTTAACTCCAGGAAACAATGTTTTATTATTTTAATAAGGTTTTACGGCGCTCGCAGCTGCATAAGAACATATGAGCACCAAGGGGTGGATGAGAGAAGAGAGGTCCAAACGGGGAATCAGGCTTACTCTGCTCACCTCTCTAGCCTCAACAGCACAAAGTCTGCTTCGACTATCAAGTCAAAGCACCCCGGAAATAGCAGTTCACAAGACTGTGAAAAACATAAAAAAGAAGGAGAGGGAATATGACGATAGCAAGGGTGAGGAAAGAAAAAGCATCATTTCCCCCTCTGTTGTTCCGGCACAGTAGTATGAGCATGACATTGATAAATCAGCCCAATTACAATTCTACTGTGAATAAGAACATATTAATATCCCCCTTTGGGAATGGCCTAAAGACACTTCAGTCAGTAGCACTGCCCTTGAGGGGGGGGGGGGGACAAGAAGCAATGAAATCCAAGTATTTAGTAGAATTTGTACAGATGCATCACCCCTATCAACACTGGAGAGTTGAAGCAAGACCTCCGAATTTAAAGTCCGTCTTCGACATTATCGAGGTAATTCCATTATATCTCAATAGGCGTCGAGATATTTGCAATTGGGTTTTTAGGTAAACTTAGAGAGAAAATTGGCCGTCAAAGTTCGGATATTTTAAAAGCTCGGGCGTCCTTGGAAACTAAAAACTTAACATTTTGTGTGCCTTTGATCAACGTTCTTCAGTAAATATCGTACGGAAATGTGCTCTTTAGTTTAGTTTGCAGAGGTTTTACGGCGCTCGCAACTGCAGGTCATATGAGTATGAGCGCTATATATGTTCTGAAATGAAAAGGTGTCAAATATAATGTAAAAACGGTTCGATGACAATCGCCATCAACGGCTGGGAAAAAGTTGAGTTGTTTTTTTCGACTTCGTTATAATGACCAGTGCATGACTTGCCCATGATGTTATACGTAATAATGTTCTAAAATGTGACACGGGTCAAGAATGCAGTGCCCACTCACGTATCTCCGTCTCTGAAGACATTAATGGCGGACGTCAGTTCAGGGGCGGAGTCAATGTTCAGATCTACGAATAGTTTGGAGCTGCTGAGCGCCCCTCCTTTGTAGGGCAGGAACAGTGTAGAAGCTGGGCCCTTATCCTGTAGATCTGCCACTACAGCCCGACAGCGAGCTTTCTTGGCCACTTCGAAGAAGTCAGAGCCGTCCGCGAGGAGAAGCTGGAGACGGGGACAAATAATTTTACTTGGAAAATAAATTATAGACATATACTACGATAGCCTAATATTAACATTCGAAAGGAGCTTAGTGTTGAGCGACAGAAGCAAGAGTTCTACTATACTATTACCGAAGACACGATATTCCCAAACGTTCCCCCTCCCCTTCCTCCTTCCATGCCCTTTTCTGACTGATTGTACAGCAACACCAACCCACCCACTCCCTCCCAGTATCCAGAAAAACATTTGTGACACAGTATGTGACATGTAATACACTTAGTCAGATAGCTTTACAGGCTAAGGAAAGAAACAAAAACAACCAACAAAAAAAACCCAGCAACAACAACAAAACCTTGTTAAACCATTACCATTGCACGAACTTGTTTGATTTCGCGTTCAAAGTGCCATTATTTAATGTTCCATTACAAACGAAGTTATGTCCAGTTCTATAGTGCGGTAAAAAAAATAGTGGTGCGTCATATTGTCAAATATCTCCTCAACTATCGAACATAGGTTCTCCAATTTTTGCACAATGACTTTCATCAAGTTGTCTTAACAGGTCAACATTTTTGTAAACACCTGCAAGCTGTAGTCTAGGAAACTCCTTAATAAATACTAATGAAAAATCCGAGTGCATAGTTTGTGCAGATTCTAAAATGTTTACAGCTGGGGCAATATTGCTTTTAATAGCAAGTCCGTAATGTTTTTCTAATCTGGACATTATACTTATTGAACGCTTGTTTTGAGAACCATTAGTTGAAAAAATGAGTTCACTATAAAAATAATTTCTTGTAACAAGCTTTGCAAGTAAAACTTGTCATTGATGAGCTGTGACGTAGGCCATATAGGTAATCAAAATGTGTGTGACAAGCGGGAAGTGCTGTGAACAGTACTATTTTAAGTGTGACAGAGATTTCAAGTATTTTATGTAAATTTATGAAGAAAAGTTTTTAAATCTAGCCCTAATTGTTCTGGAAGAAAATGATTTAGTTCAGATAAATTGATACTAACTGCTGTGCAAAGTAAGGATGACATTGATTCGCCCATTAAAGAAATATTCGAGGATAATTTGCACCACGAATTTTTGACCCCACTATAATATCGAAACAGTTGTCTTACCGGCGCGTTCATTGCGACACAGCCCGCTAATATAATGCCCACTTCAGTGACAACTCGCTCAGGGGAGTTCGGTAAGGCGTTGGCGATGACGTCTTGACGTTGGAAACCTTTCTGACGGAGCAGGGCGGCAAATTTCCCTCCCAACTGGAAGAGTTGTGTGGATGTGTATACATCACGAATTCCGTGGTTGTAGAAGATGAAGAGTTCCCTGTCTGGGAAGTTGTCGGCCAGAAACTTGAGGCGTTTACACAGCGTGTTGTGATCCCGAATTCTGGAAAGTGTGCTGCCCATGGTCAGTGTTCAGTTTAGGACACGCCACCAGAGAACTTCACCTAGCTTGTTTGAGGAGGAATTAAAGTAAAAATGTATAGTAGTTACAGAAGCACTGCCAGGGATGAGGTAATCACCCAGGACTTGGATGTGCCAAGATTAGAAGAGTTGGCGAGGGAAGATAGAATGGCATTGACTATTCTCTTCTATTTGTGCTTGAAAACATAGGGAGAGAGAAAGTGGACGCAATGCAAGTCACCCCCCTCCATGACATTACAGCCCTACGTGCAGAAAGTTGTATCCTTAACGCGTCCCCTTTTGTAATCTAGAAGTAGGGTATCGAAACTGGCATTAAATGATCATTCACATCTCTGAGCATTGCGCATGTGTGTATGCATTCTTTTTAAGTTAAATGTTATAGTTACACCTGCTCACCATGACGAGTTATAATGGAACTTCAAACAGGGTACATAATTATCATTTTAGGTTGGATATCAATGATTAAAATGGGATTTAAAAAATCAGCATGGGCTGAGATAAAACGTTTTAATGGAACCATTTGAAATCTATTCTCTTTACAAACTGTCCAATGGTCATTTCTTTGATTTTTTCATATATATTCCTCTTTCACGCTGCTCCAGTGTTTAAGTTTCAGTCTATCTCTCATTCTCAGTTGAGCATACTGGCCAGTTTCCACGGCATTCATTTTCAAGCGGCGGTTCGTTATCTGGTGGTCACTGAATTTTCGAATAAAAAGGAAAATGTCTGGTGAGGAGCACCTAAAATATTGTACAAACTGTGTATGGAAACTTTCACAAGTTTGTTGTTCTGGATGTCAAATCTTTACTGGCCAGGAGCTCAGGTGGAAAGCACAAAAATGAAATAACAGCTGCGTGAAGAAGGAATTCTGCAAATGCACATACTTTCTCGTTGTCGGGGTCGTTGACACAGCACAGAAAGTGAAACAGTTCTCTAGCTCAGATTGTTTCAGGTAGCCCATTCCAAATACGTATTTTAGCCGCTTGCATCTCCGAACCGTGGTCTTCGTAGTGAGTCTTGAGTCTAATTTCTTTTATTTTTCTGATCCAGTTTTGCTGCAAATAAAAACCCCATGCCTTGATCTTTGTCTTTAGGAATATGTCTGTGAAGGCTGTGTGCGACGTCAATTCGAAATCCAAACAGATGGATGCAGAACTGAATACACGCCACTTTGCTTGCATTGTTAACAAATGAGAGCCAAGATCTCTTTGTATAAACCTGCTGTTTTGCCCGACAGAATGCAGTAAAATAGTGGCATATAATGTCCATATCGCCCCCTTGGCGACAGTGTAAAGCTGATAAAAGAAAGTATGGCCGAAATGGAACATTCCATCACCGTAGAAGTCGTCTTCATTGCTGATGACTTTTACATTTTCTTAAAATGCTATGACCACTATTTCATCTACAGCATCAACAACCATGTTTGTTGTTATTTTTTGGGGGGAGGGGGGAGAGGGGGGAGGGGAATAGGGCAGCTGCCGTTTTCTATTACAGTCAAGCCTTCTCTTCCGTTTAGTTCAGTAAGAGTTGTACGGAGCTCGCAACTGCATAAGGTCATATGAGCGCGCAAAACATAAGTTGATTGCATTCACAACAGTTCACAGCACTGTTTGCTTCAGGGTCAGCATTTTGAATAAAATGTCAAAAATATATGGTAAAAAAGATTATATTATGTCTCCTCTGTTTGAACGTAGTTTGGGCGGCAGCTTTTTACGCTGGTGGTAAATTGCTTGACGTATTATATAGTATAGTCTTTGGGGAGCTAATGTGTTTGGTCACACGCTGCTTACATGCACTTGATAAAAACTTTGGCTAGTCGATCGTCTGGATCATTCAGCGATCGTTTCTTATAGCGTTCTTTTATTTTTCTCTTGGCTATCTGGTCCTGCTCTGGTTTGTCGTGGCTGTGATCCAAGTTTGCTGACACTAACATTGCTATTTCTGTATACGTTGAGCATTTTGCTTTGCATCCATCTTTTGAACATTTCCGGTGAGTCGTGGTATTTTTTTGCTTTTGCTAAACTAGAAGCCTAGTAATGTTCTGTCGTCTGCTTTCGTTTCCTCTTTCTGCCCCCACCCCTCACCTCCTTTGCCCCTTCCTCTGGGCTCCTGATTCTTTCTGCAGCCTTTCTACTGCTACTCCGTCGCTTCTTCTTACTGCTGTCTTTCAGCCACACCCCTGATC